CAGTGGCTGGGCTGCCCCTGCCAATGGGCAAAGGTCACTGAGGTCAATGGGCCCGGCCTAGCCCTGCCCCGCCAGCCGCCCCGCCTTGGACCCTGTGCCCCCTCCCGGGGGGGCTGGCCCCGGCCGGCTCATGGCAGGTCCGAAGCAGGCTGGTGGCAAGTGAGATTTAACCCCCAAACCACAAGCTAAACATGGCGTGAAAATACAATCCCCATTCCCATTCTTTTCCCAGCCAGCTCCGCTCAGTGCCTGGGGTTGTCAGGTGCTTTCAACAAAATACCAGGCACACTTGACATTACATCGCAATCTGTTATATCTTACTTAGAAAATACCAGACATTTATATTTTCTCAATTTGTTTCCCGAACAGAAAGCTCAAATACTGGTCTGTCCAGTCCAAAACCGGACACTTGGCAACCCCATCAGTGTTCCTGGGGCTGCTTGGGCCAGGCGCTGGCCAGGCGTGGTCAGTTCCTATTTCCCCCCAACTAAGGGCTTGTCTTCACTGCATGGTGGATGGGTGGATCCACGCTGCAGCCATCGAGCCACCAGTGGTCAATGTATCGTGTCTAAGCAGACCTGATACACTGATCTCCAGCCTTCTCCCATGGGCTTTGGTACTCCAGCAGGATGAGAAGAGTAGGTAAAGTCCAAGGGGGAGCACCAGCCACCAGTGTTAGCGGATGGAAGACGCTGTGGTGTAGCTGAAGCTGCGTATCTTAGATCAATGTGGGGAGGGTGCATAATACAGATTAAGCCTGAGATACATCACTAAGGGCTTTGAAAAGCTTCAGGCTCAGTGTGCTGGATTTAGGTTGACCTAACCCCCGCTTTAGATGTACAATTTTTCTATCGACCTAGCTGATGCCACCCTCTTCAGGGGGTGGATTTACTGTGGCGACTGAAAAACCTCTTCAGTCACTGTAGTGTCTGTGCTACAGAGACATGCTTGCAGTACAGACATACCTTTAGAGGGAGAGAGAAAGTCAGTATACAGCTGCCAACAGGATGACTCCAAACTCCTTTCCCTGCCTCTGGAACAGTAATTCTGCCTCCCACACTTTGTAGGAAAGCAGGCAGGGAATAAGAGTTATAGCTACTACTATTAATTTGTTAATATTGTTTGTTTATTTATGCAATGTTCCACCACCAAAAGTCTGTTCCTTGCTTTGAGCAGCTTACACTCTAGGACAGCAGAGTAAGGAAAGAGCATTTTACACTGGTATGTCGTGGGACAGTGGAACATATGACTCCTTCTTGATAGTGTAGCATGCAAATAGAAACATCACATTTGAATGCAGAATTATAGAATCATAGAACCAGGAGGGACCTCAAGAGGTCATCGAGTTTAGTTCCCGGCCCTCACGGCAGGACCAAGCACTATACAGATCAGCGGTTCCCAACTGCTAGTCCGTGGACCAGCAGCGATCCGTGAACCCCTGCCTGCTGGGCCATGGCACACTGCCAAGCCATGCCCCCAGCTGCTACTGAGCCCCACACGCTGGGGTTCCCTATGTAGGGATAATATATTAAAGTATTAAAAATGATTCCCCCAAGTGGAAGTGACTCCCCATAATTTGTTCCCCACAACTAAAAGTCTTAGTAGTATAAGTTTGTTTAGTAGAAGAATCATATAAGTGTTTAGATTTAGTGTTATCAAGCTTGATAAGTGTTTAGATTTATTATTATTATTATTATTATTATTATTATTATTATTTGTTAAGATTGTTAAATGTTTCGATTTATAATTATTGCCCCTCTAGAATATAATTTGTTAGGAATGTAATATTAGGTCATGTAACTTAAAACTGTTAAAAATATAATACTATGTAGCCAGAAACAGCTCCCCTCTCTGTGTCCCTGGGCACGCTCAAACTTATTGTTACACAATTGACGCCCATTCTCTTCAAAGCATTGTGAAGCAATTAACCCTAATCGCAAAGTGAAACATTGTAACTATAACAGTAACTAACTCAGCACTCAGAGAGAGAATGTTTTAAGAAATGCCACCCAGAAACTTTTGTGACTTTTTGTAACTACAACTCTTGTATTATTATGCAAAATACTGTATGGGAAACATTAATTAGGGAATGTACATAAGAGAGAGAGTGCTTGGACGATGAATGAATGGTTGTGAGAGGTGCCAGCCTGAGAATGCAGCAACAAAGGGCTGAAGAAGGCGTCAGGTGCCAGTGCAACCAAAAGGTGTCAAGTGGAGAAAACCAAGCTGGAGGTCCACCCGATGAGATCACTGATGAGCACCTGGCAGCCACCCTGGAGACATCAGCATGATGCAGCAATTTCCATAGACTGGCATAGGAAGAAATTCCTATAAGAACTGGACTAAAAAACTATGGAATCAGAGTCCAAGGTTCTGCTGCCAGCCCACCAGGAGCTTCAGATTCGCATCTGATCAGGACTTCGCTCCCCACTACCATCACTTGTGTACAGAGTACCTGGCCAGTATTCTGTCACAAGCAACTTCCAGGCTGGTAACTATACACAGAACTTGAATGAATGGATGTATGAATGAATGAATGTTTTGTGTGTGTGTGTGTGTGTGTGTGTGTGTGTGTGTGTGTGTGTGTGTATAAGGGTTAAGTAGGGATAGGAATAAGTAGCTAAACAACGTTGTTTGCGTCTATCTTTTCTTTATTCTTTATTATTATCTTTACAATAAATGTGGCTTTTTGGCTTATCCCCATCATAAGATCCTGCTTTTTTTATTCATATAACACCCACGCAGCTGCAGGGTGAGTGGCCCTGCGGGCAACCGGGAGTGCTGCAGCTGGAGCCGGTCCTGTTTCCAGTTCCAACAGCCACCCAGCTGTCAGGGCTGCGTGATGGGCAGTTGTAGTGCTCGGCCAGGTCCAAGCACCACGTGGAGCCCGACTGCCACAGTGCTCAGCAGGGGCCTAGCTGCCATGGCACACAGCAGGGGCCCAGCATACTGCGAGTTCCTGCTGCACGGGGAAGCACTCTGCACTCAACTGGAAGATGGGAGGCTGTGGCAGGCCCAGGTGAGGGGAGTGGGGCTTGCGCAAGAGGGTTTTTCTTGCGCAAGAAGGGGCAGGGTAGACAGCTCCTTCTGGTGCAAGAGCCTCTTCTGCAAAAATGGTAGCTCATTAGGTATGCAAATGAGGGTCGGCGATATTCCACATTTAGCCTCATTTGCATATTTCTTGGGCAAGAAGCAGCAAGTGTAGACATAGCCCAGGGGTTTGGGTTGGCTCTAGGGGCCAGGCTTTTTATACTGTGGACCGCCAAATTAATTCACAAACTTTTGACAGACCAGTAACATTTTATTTGTGTATTTGAATATTCATTATATGCATAATTAATATGCATATATGCAAATAACATGTTACCAGTCTACCAAAAGTTTGTGAATTGGTTTGCCAGTCCCTGGTATAAAAAAGGTTGGGAACTTCTCGTCTAGATCATCCTTGACAGATGGCTGTCTAATCTGATCTTAAATATCTCCAGTGATGAAGATTCCACAACCCCCTCTAGGCAATTTATTCCAGTGTTT